ATTGGTGTTCTTCAACTTCTGGAATGCGTGTCCTGTAGTTGTTCCCACTTCACCTTGTTAGGTTGGCCTTTCTTGGTGAGGTCAGTCAGTGGTGCAGCAACTTCAGCATAGTTTGGGATAAAGTTCCTATTAGTTCCCACTAACCCCAGGAGAGATCTGACTTGCTGCTTGGTTGTTGGTATTGGTGCATCTTATATGCGAGTTAGCTTCTCTGTTATGGCTATTTGTCAGTCGCTCACCTTCTGTCCAATAAAGTCCATCACAGAATAGCCGATGTAGCACATTGATGATCTGATTATGGCTATTTGACAGTCGCTCACCTTCTGTCCAATAAAGTCCATCACTGAATAGCCGATGTAGCACATTGATGATCTGATTGTCAGACCTGCTGCCCTCACTCTGAGTTTCTTAACTGTGTGGTTCAGAATGTTGTCCACATAATGCTCAAGGTTGGTGGTTTTGTGCAGCATCTTCATCATACAGTTGATTGTTGCTGTTGAATTGACTAATCCTCTTGAACTGTTATAATCCATCTGGTTTCACAAAGGCTGTATTCTCTTGAGATTCTGTCTCCATTGAGATTTGCCAATAACCTTTACTGAGGTCAGTCTTGGTAAAGAACTTGGCCCCATATAGTTTTGCCATGATAGTGTCTGGGTTGCCCATAAGGTTAAAGTCAAACTTCATCATGATGTTCAATTTTCAGAAATCAGTGAAGAAGAGGTTTTAACCATTCCTTTTTTTCATGATTACCACCAGTGAATAAATGGCAGAATTTGAAGGCTCAGTGACTCTTAACTTCTAACATTATCTTGACTTCTTGCTTGATCAAGTCAGCTATTGCATAGGGCATCTGGTAGGGCTTCACTTTGACTGGATCTCTGGTTGTGGTTTGAATCTTATATTGCACAAGGTCTATCTTGCCTGGTCTATCTGTGAAGACACTGCATACTGGTACAGAAGATCTTGTAGCTTTTTCTTCTGCTTGTCAGTCACTTATTCACTGATGTTGACTTCTTTGTACATCTCATCTCCACCCAGTTGTCTTAGGCCTCATAGGTCTTCATCTTCTTTGACACAGTTACTGTCTTCTGGTTCTGCAACTATGACAGCCACACATGCCATGTGCTTCTGTGCCTCTATAGCTGCATCTGTTATGTCTTCTTCCTTCTTGAAACCTCTTCAACAGATTGACATGGTAGATCTTGGTTTTCCTGTCCACTTTTACCTTAGTCCATTATGCCGACCACTTCCTACACTTCAAAGGGTCCCTTCCACTGCAAGATAAGTTTGTTATTTCTGTGGGTAGCGGAACTAAGACCTTCTGTTTGACCTTGAAATGTTGATCCTTGGCCTTTTTATAAAAGTGCTTTTGACTGCCTTGAGCTGCATACGAACTCTTGTGTGTGAGTTGACAGGTCTCTTCCAGTTAGTTTCTGTGGTCTAACACATACTGGTATGTGTTCCTCACTTCTGACTCTTCTCCTGTCCACAGTTTTTCTGATACGGTACATTACTTCCGCTCACATAAATAACTATTCTTGTATAGTGCTGCCCTCTGTGTGCAAAAAAAATTACTCTTGCCACAAGCCTTTTATCTCCTTTTCATTGAAATTGACTGATTCCAATGCATCTCTCATGGAAATCATCATGTGTCAAACCTCCACCAATAAGAGTGTGACATACTCTCATGACTCATATGGCTCCTTATATTCAATTCCACTGAACTGTTACTTTTCATTTGGCAGTGCTCATGTTCAGACATTTCTCTTTTGGTGCTCTTCATGTGAATTGTAATTTTAGTAATTTAAATGCCAAAGTAGTATTTCTTCAATATCA